ACAACAGGAAAAGGACAAGTTGGTCCTGAGAGCCTGAATGACACAGATAAACTACAATAAAAAGAATTTTCTGGACCCACGGTTCTTTGATGGTGCAGTGGGAGGATACAAGATTTATGTGCTCCTGTGAAAAGGTGCAGGGAAAATGGTTGGGGCTGATCCCTGCCTCAAGGGGGACAGAGAAAGATTTAGTGTGTGCTAACAGCACAGAGGAAAAGGTTTAGGACTAATGCACTCCTAAGGGAGACCAGAGACAGAGAGAGAGAGAGAGAGAGAGAGAGAGAGAGAGAGAGAGAGAGAGAGAGAGAGAGAGAGAGAGAGAGAGAGAGAGACTGGGAGAGACACCCCCTGGTGTTGGGAAGTGAAACTTTTGGTAAATATTTTAGGTGGCTAGAGATCAAAAGTGTGATTTTCAGGCAAGCATACACTAACTCTGATCATCCCCCATGGCTTGGCCACAAGAGGTTGGTGGGAAAATGTATTAACTTAGAGGGAATAGAAGATATAAGTGATCAGGGTGGAAAAGGGAAAGAGGAGATAATGACCAGTAAGGACAGAGAGCTGGAGAGATGGCTCAGCGGTTAAAAGCACTGGCTGCTCTCCCAGAGGACGCGGGTTCACTTCCCAGCACCCACGTGGCAGCTCACAGCTGTCTGGCACTCCAGTTCCAGGGAATACAACAGTCTCTCTCTCTCTCTCTCTCTCTCTCACACACACACACACACACATTCATGCAGGCAAAAAACACCAATGCACATAAAAATAAATATTTGCCAAGCATGATGGTGCACATCTTTAATCCCAGCACTGGGGAGGCAGAGGCAGATGGATCTCTGTGAGTTTGAGGCCAGCCTGGTCTACAAAGATTGTTCCAGGATAGCCAGGGCTGTTACACAGAGAAACCCTGACTTGGAAAAAATAAAATAAAGAAGACGCACTTGATTAAAACTGAACACCAGGCAGTTGATTTTTACCCAAAATAGTGTATGGGATGGTAGAAGATAGGAAGTGGTGAAAATTTTCTTTCTTTGCTTTTTTTCTTATAAGAAAAACATTTGAAGTTTTTTGTTTATTTGTTTTATTTTGTTTCATTTTTTTTTTTCCTTTGGAGACAGGGTTTCTCTGTGTACTCCTGGCTGCCCTGGAAGTCATTCTCAAACTCAGAGATCCACCTGCCTCTGCCTCCTAAGTGCTGGAATTAAAGGTATACACTACACCCAGCTTCCTTTTGTATTTGGTACTATGAAGATTACACACACACAAATCAACTGTATTATTTTCATCTAAATATTTTGGACACCTTATATAATTTCAGTGACCATAGGAATATATTCACAACACTTAGAAGTCTGAATCAGGAGAATGACTAGGTTGAGGTCAGTCATTCTGGGTTATGTAGTGATTTCTAGGACAGCCTGGGCTACATAACACTCTCTCTCTCTCTGTCTTTCTCTCTGTCTCTCTCTCTCTCTACACACACACACACACACACACACACACACACACACACACAAATAAAGCCAGGAGGCAGGCAGAGGCAAGAGGATCTCTGTGAGTTCAAGGTCAGCCAGGCTTACTCAGCCAGTTCTAGACCAGCTAGGGCTAGCGGTGTCTCCAAACCACGTCAAACAACACAGAAAGCGGGAAGGTGGTTTCTTTGTAAAAGCTGCATTTTCTCCCACAGCTCATCTCCCAGATAGTCGGCCTGTCCCTGGTCAAGCCTACAGCTTTTCTCTCATCTTGAAAATTTCCTCCCAGGCTGGAAACATTAGTAATGAGGTAACGTATCAGTTTGCAACCTGTTAGGAGCAACCTCTTAAAACCAAGATAAGGGTCCTACCCCACCCCCCCTCCAGACAGAATGAGGATTTGGGTTCCCCCAGTCATCTCTGAACTGTATGCACACATCTAATGTTTAGAAGTTTTGACCTTTGGGAATGCAGTTGAAAGTAATTTATTGTTATTTAATTGGTTTTGTTTTTTAACTTTTTGTTTTATGTGCATTGGTGGTTTTTCTGCATGTATGTCTGCAACTGGAGTGACAGACAGCTGTGAGCCATTTGGATGCTGGGAATTGAACCTGGGTCCTTGGGAAGAGCAGCCAGAGCTCATAACCACTGAGCCATCACTAAGCCATCTCTCTATGAAATGATATGTAGACCAGGCTGCCTCAACCCACTAAGGTTTTCCTGTCTCTGCCTCCCAAGTGCTGATTAAAGTCACCCCTGGTGAAAGAGGAATTCATTTATTTATATAAATATTTATCTATTTATGTATATGAGTGCACTATCTGCATGTACGCCTTTATGCAAGGAAAGGCATCAGATCCCACTATAGATGGTTGCAAGCCACCACGTGGTTGCTGGGAACTCAGGACCTCTGCAAGAACAACCAGTGTTTTTAATCCCAGAGCCATCTCTTTAGCCCCCAAAAGAGCGAGTCTTAGGAAGAGTTTTGAAGCTCCTAAAAAGACCCACTCAAAGGTAATGGGGGGGGGGGGGGGGGGGGGCTGTTCATGGGGATAACAGGAAGCAGAAACTAGAAAAAGGACAGTGAGGTGTCCTGGTGGGGTATGGCCCAGTAGTGCTCATGACCTCGGGAGGTCACCCTGTGGTCCGAACTGGTGTTGGAGCGCGCATGTGCAATCTTGTTTTGGTGCTCAGGTGAAGGACATCGACAGCTCTCTTGCTGTCATGAAGGTCTTCCTGTTCTCCGGCTTGGCAGCGGAGCCAGTAAGTCATCCACAGGGCCCTTTGTTTCTGATTCAGGATTTGGTTGTTGCAAGCTATCTTCAACACTAAATCCTCCTGCCTCTGCTACCTGAGTGCTAGGATTACAAGCATGTGCCACCAGGCCTGACTTCTGTAAACTTTCTCCCAGCTCCAAAACTACATATTCAGATGGCTTCTTAACCCAAACTAAAAACTCAAATAACTAGCCAGGTGGACCCTGTGTCAAGAGGGTCATAAGGTCAAGACTTGCCCAAGCCATATAATGAGACCTCATCTAAAAGTAAAAAGTAAAGAGAGAAGCCGGGTGGTGGTGGTGCATGCCTTTAATCCCAGCACTCGGGAGGCAGAGGCAGGTGAATCCCTGTGAGTTTGAGGCCAGCCTGGTCTATAAGAGCTAGCTCCAGGGGGCTGGAGAGATGGCTCAGTGGTTAAGAGCATTGCCTGCTCTTCCAAAGGTCCTGAGTTCAATTCCCGGCAACCACATGGTGGCTCACAACCATCTGTAATGAGGTCTGATGCCCTCTTCTGGCCTGCAGACATACAGACAGACAGAATATCGTATACATAACAAATAAATACATAAATTTAAAAATAAATAAATAGCTAGGACTATTATACGGAGAAACCCTGTCTCGAAAAACTAAAAAAAAAAAAAAAAAGTAAAGCGAGTGCTGAGGGTATAACTCAGTGGTGCAATTAGTGCTTACTTTGTACTTGGTCCGAAAGTCAACCTCCTGTACCACAAAAACAAGCCAATGACAATCACCCCACATTCATGCTAATGCCTCTACTTGGCAGCCTCAAAAGCACCCAATATTTTTGTTAACCTGCGGCCTCTTCTGGCTGCCTGCAATCACTCTCAAAGCTCCTGCTGAGCAAGAGCCTTAAACTGCTTGGCTGCCTAACTTAGAACCTAAGCTTAACCTCATTCCGCACCGCACCTCTCCTTCTATTGTTTTATTTAATGTGTATATCTGTACACCTTGTGCATGCCTGGTGCCCAAGGAGGCCAGAAGACATTGGATCCTTTGAAACTGGAGGGACAGGTGGTTATGAGTTACCATGTGGATGCTGGAAAATGAACCTGGGTTGTCTGGAAGAGCAGCCGGTGCCAAATACTGAGCCATCTCTTCCTTCTCGACCTCAAACCTGACCCAGTCCTGTAAGTCACGTCGGATGGACTCTGCTTCCTAAACATCTCAGTTGTGGCCGCCACCACCTTTACAGCCAGGCTACCGTAAAGGCTGGCTTCCTCCAGCCATGCGCTACCCTGAGGCCATGTGATTCTTACACACAGAAATGATCCTCTCACTTCCTGACTTTAAAACTTTCCAGCTGGGGCTGGGGATATGGCTTATTTGGGGAAGTATTTGCGTAGCCTGCAGGAGGCCCTGGGTTTGACGCACAACACCATGTAAAACCAGCGAGGTGACCTGAGAGGAGAAGCAGGAGGCTCGGTGAGTTCTCACTGCCCCCTCAGCTGTCTATGTCTATAGACAGCATAAGCTCTCCAGACTCTTGGCTCAGCATGGTGCCCTCCTCAAACCCTCTGCAGAAGAAGGAACCGTTGCCTGCACTCACTCCTGCCTCTGGACTTTTTTTTTTTTTTTTTGGTTTTTCGAGACAAGGTTTCTCTGTGGCTTTGGAGCCTGTCCTGGAACTAGCTCTGTAGACCAGGCTGGCCTCTGGACTTTTGTACTGATCTGTTTAGCTTGTTCTCCTGGCCTTTGCCCCTGTCCTTATTAATGCCTCCCCTCTTTCAGGCCTTTAAACAGCACTGTCTGAGAGGCCATCCTCAACTGCTAAAGTGCCTTAGCCACCCAGCTGTACACCACTGGCGTCCTCCGCCCTCCTCTGTGACCACCCTTATCAGAGGTTTTTACCTGCCTATCCTGTTGCCTAGCTTCCTCACTGTACAATGAAACCTAACGATCTGAACCCAGCAACTTTGTGTCCAAGGCCCTAACACAGTATATGACACCTAGTAAGGAACCAGCTGTGGCTTTTGCTCTTTGGAGACAGGGTCCCATAGAGCCCATGATGGCCTCGAATTGGCTATGTAACTGAGAAAACCTTGGTCTCCTGATACCATTCCCTTTATCTCCCCAGGGTCCATCTCTGGTTGGTTGGTTTTTGTTTGGTTTTGTTTTGTTTTTCCTGGAGACAGAGTGTCCTCCAACTTTTGAGCCTCCTGCCTCAGCCTCCCTCTTGCTGGAATTATAAGCATAGACGATCTCAATCAGTTTTAGTATTTGCTGCATGACAAAATGAGTTTAAAGCCATTTTACTTCTTAATCCATTTGTAATGCATGTGCGTACACCTTCCTCAAAATACAGCGTGGCCGCCAAGACTGAGAAATAGCTACAAAACAGTGTGTGCTTGATCACAAGAATGGAAGAGAAGCTGTCAGCGAGACATGGGAGTGGATTTTTGCTTGTTTCCTTGTGTTGTTCTTGTTTTTGTTGAGAGAGGGTCTCACTGTCACTACATAGACCAGGCTGGCCTGGAACTCACAGAGACCTGCCTGCCTCTGCGTCCTGAGTGCTGGATTAGAGGCATACACCACCACTGCTTGGCTTGGGCTTGTTTTTTTCCTTTTTTTGAGACAGGGTTTCACTCTGAAGCCCAGGCTAGCCAAGCTGGCCTTGGACTCACAGCGGTCCTCCAGTTTCAGCTTCCTAAATGCTGGGATTCTAAATATGAGTCACTATGCCCAGCAACAAGAGAAATGTTTAAGTTTTAATTTTATCACATGTAATATGGGAATAATAAAATTTTCTCACATAATCCAACAAATAATAACTATCATTTAAAAAATTCAAACAATAACTATCACATCTAGACCCTAATTCCAAATAGCAGTAAGCCCATATTCCCTTGCTCAGAAGAGAAAGCCCATGACTGAAACCTCCCACCAGGGGGCAGTATCACCCTGGCTGGTCTGTTCTGCTTCCAGGTCAGTACAGGACCTGCAGTGTTTCTCCTGAGCTGTAGGTACAAAGAAGGGGGAGGGAGGGGATGGAAGATGAAGGGTAAAAGGGGAGCAAACAAAATCAGAGATCGGGACATGTATCAAGGCCTCATGTTTCTTTGGCCCATTCCCCTTTCCCATCCCAGGCTCCTCTGAGGCACTGTTTATACTTAAGGAAAAAGCATTTCCGGGCTTGCCATTGGTGCGGAGGGGCGGGGCCTCTTCCCTGCCTTCCACGTGAATTCTGTCCTCTCACTAGAGTCTCCGGCTTCCACTTCAAGTAGACACTATGTTAAGAGAAGCAGATTTGCTTTTTCTGACTGCAGGAGGCACCTCATTTTTCTGAGCCACCCGTTTCTGGTTTGTGGAGAGTGACAGGAGCCAGAGGCACCCTTGTTAGAGACTGTATTCATCCTTTTCCACCTTGATTTCAATGAATGAGTTCAAATCAGGACAGGAGGTCTTGTGAGGCTGGTCAAAGGATGGAGAGACAGGTCCTTTCTCGTTGCCTCCGCCTCCTTCCTCTTCTTGGAAGTTGGGATTGTAAAGTTCGGGTGGAAGGAGCTGGGCTTCCACGGAAGGCAGTCTGTCTGAGGGAGGCCCATAGACACGGTTGGCTTTGGTGCCATGCTTCGAGTTGGCATCCAGATGGTAGCAGAGCTCTGTGAGGCGCTGGGCCCTGAAGCGGGGCGAGCGGGCCACCCACACACCTGGCTCACTGAGACTGTCCTCCTCGTCGGACATCAGCTCTTCTGTCACAGCCTTCCACAGCTGTTGGTCCTCGGGGCCGAAATGCCTCATGATGCTGGATCGGTTGGCAAAAAGCTACGGTAAGACCCAGAGCAGAGATTAGGAAGAGAAATAGACTGTGGGTTTGTAGGAAGAGTTTAGGTTGGGAGGACATGTAAAATCTGTGTCTAAATGTACCCAGTCCTCAAGTCAGATCTCTGTGCTAGCTCACCCTCCATCTGTCTGTCTGTCTGCCCTCCAGTCTGTCAACTGTATTTTCAGCTTCTCTGGGATACTCTTCACATTACAGTTTGTTGGTATCTAGGCTAGGGTTTTAAATCTCAAAAAGAAGGCCTAGAAACCTACCCGGTATCGGCGACTTCGAAGTTTCTTCTCCTCTTTTTCCTTTAGGCCTTTGAAAGGATTGAGAGAGTTGCGGTACTCTCGCCTTTTAGTAAGGAAGTAGGCCACACAGGCTCCTGGGAGAATGAGACAACAAGAAGCAGGACCTTCAGCCAGGCAGAGATGGCAAATGCCTTTAATTCCAGTACTTGGGAGGCAAAGGCAGGCAGATCTCTGTGAGTTCAAGGCCAGCCTGGTCTAGAAAGTGAGTTCCAGAACAGGCTCCAAAGCTAGAGAAATACTGTCTCAAAAAACAAAAACAAAACAAACAAAAAACAAAAAAGAAAAAGAAGGAGGAGGAAGGAGGAGGAGGAGGAGGAGGAGGAGGAGGAGGAGAAGGAGAAGGAGAAGGAGAAGGAGAAGGAGAAGGAGAAGGAGAAGAAGAAGAAGAAGAAGAAGAAGAAGAAGAAGAAGAAGAAGAAGAAGAAGAAGAAGAAGCAGCAGCAGCAGCAGCAGCAGCAGCAGCAGCAGCAGCAGCAGCAGCAGGGGTCCTAGCCCCCACACTGCTCCCGAGGGGAAGGTTAGAATCACCATTTGGCAGGCCGGGCTTTCAGTCCCCTTGGATTCAGTGTCCTTTGCCCACCTTCATCTCCAATACTAACTCCTCCCAAATATCCCTCACCGCAAAGAGACGACTCCAACTGCCTCTGCGCATCAAGTCTACTGCTCTCCTGCCAACGAACCTCAGTACTGCCCTGCAGCTGCCGCAGGGACAGGTGACAGAGAGGAAGCAAAGCAGAAAACTTAGAGCATAGTGGTTTTTTATTTTCAAGATTTAATTTTATGTGTATGGGTGTTTTGCCTGCATGTGTATCTGTGTACCACATGTGTACAGTGCCCTCGGAAGCCAGAAAGGGGATCAGATCCCCCTGGAACTGGAGTTACAGACTGCTGTGAGCTGCCATGTGGGTGCTGGAAATTGAACCCATGTCCTCTGGAAGAACAGTGAGTGCTCAACCACTAAGCAATCTCTCCCAGGACATAGTACCCAGGGACATCCTGATGATCCTGGGCCATCCCTGGAAGCACAAATCAGCTACCACAAGTTGTCCTCTGAGTTATACATGCGCACTGTGGTGGATGGTTACACAAGGGCATTTGTATGCACACATAACATACAGACTAAATACATACATGTAATACTTTTTGTTTTGCTTTTTTTGTTTTGTTTTTTTATTTTTTTTATTTTTTTAAATGGATCAATGAGTTATTTATTTATTAAGTATACAGTATTCTGTCTGCATGTATGCCTGCAGGCCAGAAGAGGGCACCAGACCTCATTACAGATGGTTGTGAGCCACCATGTGGTTGCTGGGAATTGAACTCAGGACCTTTGGAAGAGCAGACAGTGCTCTTAACCTCTGAGCCATCTCTCCAGCCCCTGTTTTTTTTTTTTTTTATTTTTATTTTTAAGTCAGGGTTTCTCTGTAACTGCCCTGGGTGTCCTGGAACTCGCTCTGTAGACCAGGCTGGCCTGCCTCCCAAGTGTGGGGATTAAAGGCGTGTGCCACCACTGCCTGGCATTGTAATATGTTTTCTTAAAGGAGTGGGGCTGGAGAGATGGCTCAGCAGTTAGGAGAACGGGCTAGTCTTCCAGAGGACTGGATTTGATTTCCCAGCATCCACGCAACAGGTCACAGCCATCTGTCCTTTCGGTTCCTGGGCATCCAGTGCCTCCTGACCTCAGCAGGCTTGTGCACACAGAGATACGCATGCACACACTCAGATGTGCAAACACATGCAGCATAAAACAAAGAAATATAAATTCAAACAACAACAACAAAGCCAGCACGCCTTTAATCCCAGTACTTAGGAGGTGGGTCTCTGTGAGTTCAAAGCCAGCCTGGTCTACATAACAGTTCTAGGACAGCAGGTGACAGAGTGAGACCCTGCTCTAAGAATAATGATAATAATAGCCTGAGTCCTGACCTCATATTCATTCAGTCCTTATGGAAGCACAATGTGTAAGAGAACTCTAGTCCTTTTAGTATTATCATTCCAAACTGAGTAGGGGAAGAAGGCAATTTGAAGTAATCCTTAATAAATTCTAGATGAGAACATTAACAATAAGGTTTTTAAATGCACAAGCACTATTTTCTCTTCCTTCCTTCCTCCCTTCCTTCCTCCCTTCCTTCAATTTTTTCATAGTTCAAGCTGGCCTAGAACTCTGTATATAGCCTAGATTGGCCTTGAACTTGAAGAGGTCCCCTTGCCTCCGTCTCCAACCCTGGGATCACAGGCGTGAGGCACCATAATTAGCTGCCATCTCAACCATCCCCGTGCCTCCTCCCTCCCAGAAAGAGCCGGGGAGTAGAAGGGGCAAGCAGAGAGCATGCGCAGAGGGAAGGCGGAGCCCCTACCTTTCAGCTCCTTATCTGTGTAATTGTGGGGACTGCTCATCAGCTCCTGCTTCAGCTTTTCCAAAAGGAATTTCACTACTGAAATATTCCAAGACGACTTAATGCTGTCACAGAGGAGGAAAAAAAAAAAAAAGGCAGACAAGTTTTGAGGAGCCAGAGGAACCAGACACACCTGGACTGATAAGCTTTGTTGCCACCCCCAAGCCCACTTCCCTCTCAGCACAGCACCCGGTGAGCTGTTTGTCCTCGAGAGCCCGTACCTTTCAGATCCGTTGAATCTCTTGTCGTTGGTGATGTGGTTATGCACATTGTGGACCAGTTTCTAGGGGAGGGAGAAAGAATCAGGTCAGGAGTAGACAGGGAAACTTTCCTCTGGTGCCTTGGGTAAAAAAGCATTGTTCCCGTGTGTGGGTTCTTCTCTGTCCCAATCACACCATTTCTAGTTCCTAGGCACCATTGGTTTTTGGGTTTGTTTGTTTGTTTGTTTTGGAACCCACTTTGTAGATCAGGCTGGCCTCAAACTCACAGATATCTGCCTGCCTCTGCCTCCCAAGTGATAAGATTAAAGGCACGTGCCACCACCACCCGGCTTCTAGGCACTTGTCTTGGTTAAGTTTTTATTGCAGTGAAGAGACACCAGGATCATGGCGACTTTGAATTGTGGTGGGAGCATGGCAGACATGGTTTTGGTGACACCTTGATCAGAAGGCAACAGGAAGTCAACTAGGAAACCTCAAAGCCGGCCCCAACAATGATGGACTTCCTCCAACAAGGCCACACCCACTTTAACAAAGCCACACCTCTTAATAGTGACTCCCTGTGAGATTGTGGAAACCGAACACGTTCTAACTGCCACAGCACTATTTTTTAATATGTCCTTTCTTGACCAAAGAGCTATCTAAGGCTGTATAATTTTAGCTTTTCTTTTTAACCAAAGTGTCACATACCCCAAGCTGACTTCAAATTTCCTGTGTGGTCCTAAACTCCAGCTCTTTGTGCCTTTGTTACCTGAATGCTGGGGTTATAGATGTACCACCACATCTCTATAATCTGTGTTTCTTTGAGTATAAGTGTATTCTGAAATTATCTATTAAAGTTGATGACCCAGTAGTCATGTGTGTTGGCACATGCCTTTTTTTTTTTTTTTAAGATTTATTTATTATGTATAGTGTTCTGTCTGCATGTATGCCTGCAGGCCAGAAGAGGGCACCAGATCTCATTCCAGATGGCTGTGAGCCACCATGTGGTTTCTGGGAATTGAACTCAGAACCATTGGAGGAGCAGTTAGTGCTCTTAACCACCCAGCCATCTCTCCTAACCTCACTATTCAGAAGGCAGAGGCAGGTGACTATCTGAGTTTGAGGCCAACCTGGTCCTCAGGGCAAGTTTCAGGACAGTCTGGAAAGACAATTAAAAATTCTCACAAGTCTGGGAAGTGCACACATGAGTCTTGAAAACAAGAGAAATGGAAACTGGAAAGTACCCTGGAGACAGCCAGCACTTCCTTCCTCCCATGGCACCCAGCAGCTGTTAGTTTTCCTCATACACATCTATTCCCTTGCTTTCAAAAAATTTATGACTTGACTTAATTGTACGTTTGTGTGTATGTGCCTGAGTATACGTATGTGCATTACACGTATGCAGGAGCCCACAGAGGTCAGAAGAGAGAAAAGATCTCCTGGATCTATGGTTATAGATGGTTGTGAGCCATGTGGGTAGTAGGAATCCAACCCACACGCTCCATAACCCTGGGCTGTCTCCCAGCCGTCTGTCTCCTTTCTGAGCCAGTTACTCTAACTGAACATTTTGGGGGGGGTGGGGAGCAGGATCTGATTACGTAGCCCTGGTTGGCTTGGAACTATCTATGTAGTCTTGTCTAGGCCCAAACTCATAGACATCCACTCACCTCTGTTTCCCTCGCACGACCACAGTGAGTCCTATGGCATATTTTTGTTTTGCTTTTTTGAGACAGGATCTCTCTACATATATATCCCTGGCTGTCCTGGAACTCACTCTGTACGGTCTCAAACTCACAGAGATCTGCCTGCCTCTGCCTCCTGAGTGCTGGGATTAAAGATGTGCCTGACCCTCAAATGAACATTTTTAGTTAAAGAGTTTTATTGGAGGCTGGAGAAATGGCTCAGTGGTTAAGAGCACTGACTGCTCTTCCAGAGTTCCTGAGTTCAATTCCCAGCAACCACATGGTGGCTTACAACCATCTGTAATGAGATCTGGCGCCCTCCTCTGGTGTGTGGCCATACATGGAGGCAGAATGTTGTATACATAATCAATAAATAGGGGGCTGGAGAGATGGCTCAGTGGTTAAGAGCATTGCCTGCTCTTCCCAAGGTCCTGAGTTCAATTCCCGGCAACCATATAGTGGCTCACAACCATCTGTAATGAGGTCTGATGCCCTCTTCTGGCCTGCAGACATATACACAGACAGGATATTGTATACATAATAAATAAATAAATATTTTTAAAAAAACATAATCAATAAATAAATCTTAAAAAAAATTAATCTTGAAAAAAGGGGTGTGGTTGCCGGGCGGTAGTGGCGCATGCCTTTAATCCCAGCACTTGGGAGGCAGAGGCAGTCGGATATCTGTGAGTTCGAGACCAGTCTGGTTCCAGGACAGCTAGGACTGTTTCACAAATAGACTCTGTCTTGAAAAATCAAAGGAAAAAATAAAAGAAAGAAATCTTTTAAAAACTGAAGTCCAAATGTAAGCAGTCACAAAGGAATCGGTGAACAATTTCATAGAAAGTGAGAAGTGTGACTTCTCAAAGAAAGAAAGGAGTTACCTATCTTTTAAGACAAGGAGGTTGGAAGAGATCAGGTGGTAAAAAAAATCCAACCAGGCTTGAAGTACAAAGGGAAAGTACTCTAGACAGTAGAGACAGTAGGTGTTAAGACTGTAAAGGCTCCTGGCTCATCTATCTCCTGAGTGAGCTAAAAATAGTCTTCCCCTAGGGTGGCTGGCATCCGCACCATTCCAAAGAGTCAAGGATACTGGTCTGGTCCTTGGGGTCCACAGGGTTCCCTGCAGCATCCACAGGCATCCCAACAGATCAGTGAGCTTTTGGGCCCTTTCCAGAGCTCAAGATTACCTCTGTAAGGCCCTATAACCATTCTTCCCTTGCAAGCCAGGAGTCTTGCTCAATAATTTGTTTTCCTTTCTTTTTCTGAAATAGCCTTCCTTACTATTGTGCCAGGGCTGGCTGCAAACTAACCTTGCAGCCTGGGCTGGTTTCGGACTTGGTATTCTCCTGCCCTGGCTTCCCAAGGGCTGGGATTACAGGAGTTCTCCAAGTGTGTCTTCCTGAGTACCTTCCTTTCTCTCAACACTAGTACTTAAAACCTAAACTAAAGAGCTTGCTGCTTTTCCAGAGGAACAAGTTCAGTTCCCAGCATCCATGTCAGGTGACTCACAACTGCCTCAAACTGTGGCTCTAAGGAATCTGATATCCTCTATTGCCCTCTGAGAATACTTAAACACACATAGAGCATGTATACACACATGCAATGCACACATGCATGCACATAAAAATAAATCTTTTTGTTTGTTTGTTTTTTGAGACAGGATTTCTCTGTAGCTTTGGACCCTGTCCTGGAACTAGCTCTTGTAGACCAGGCTGGCCTCGAACTCACAGAGATCCACCTGCCTCTGCCTCCTGAGTGCTGGGATTAAAGGCATACACCACCGCCGCCTGCCTTCTTTCCTTTTTTATACAATGTTCTGTCTGCATGTATGCCTGCAGGCCAGAAGAGGGCATCAGACCTCATTATAGACAGTTGTCAGCCCCCATGTGGTTGCTGGGAATTGAACTCAGGACCTCTGGAAGAACAGCCAGTGCTCTTAACCTCTGAGCCATCTCTCCAGTCCTCCTTTTTTTTTTTTTAATGCATTAAGAAGGGCTGGAGATAAGGCTCAGTAGTTAAAACCCCTTGCTGCTCTTCCAGAGGACCCAGGTTCAGTTCCCACACTCACACTGGGATACTCACAACAGCATATACCTCTGGCTCCAGGGAATATACCACCTTCCGGCCTCTGATGATTCCTGCACACATGTGGTATACACTCACATACATACAGATACAATTGAAAAACATTAAGAATCTATATTAAGATCCAGTTTTGACAGGTGGCAGTGGCTCACACCTTTAATCCCAGCACTAGGGAGGCAGAGGCAGGTAGATCTCTGAGTTTGAGGCCAGCCTGGTGTACAGAGCGAGTTACAGGTCAATTAGGGCTAATGTAATGAGCCCCTACCTCTTATTAATTGATTAATACTTAACAAACTGCTTCTAAATAAATAAGAAAATAAACTCAGAGTGTGGTGAACAGAGAGGTGTATATGTTTATAATTCCAGCCAGGACTTGGGAGTTCAAGGCTAGCCTCAACTGTGTGTAGTGACTTTGAGGCAACTATGAGTGTCACAGGATCCTGTTTCAAACAAACAAAACAAAGCCCCCAAGCCCTACAAAGCTCTTGTGCTCACAGTTGATCCAAGAGACTATATTCATGCAGAAGAGGTCTCCCAGCCTCTACACTATTGGCATGTTGAGCTGAAAGGTACACTGTGGAACATGCCGTAGAGTACCTGGCGTCTACCCATTGGATATAAGCATTGTTCCTTTGCCTACCGACCGGCGATAACAGTCTAAAAAGTGTCCCTGGAGGGCAGCTCCCCCTGGCTGAGAACCACCGCCCCACCAGTTAGTTCTTCATGGGCCTCTCGGCCTCTCCAACAAGATGGCAGGCAGTCTTCCTAGCCAGTCCCTTCTCCCTGCCAAGAGCTCTGTGCTGGGCAGACGGCCCTAAGCTTGGTGGCTCAGTGCCTCTGTGGGGCTTGTCACTGCTTCAGGACAAGCTAGCTATCCCACAGATGTCCCTCATCACTTACCCTGCACACAGGCTAAAATGTGACCCTTTGGTGGTCAGTCTGCTCAATCCTTTAAGATCTTCCCATCAGGACTATCAGAACACTAGAGAGATAATTCTTTTCTCTTTAAAGAGGAGACACCATTCTATCTAGACAAGCCTAAAAGACGAGGCAATGGAAAAGGCTCTGCCATGCTCAAGGTTATAGAATAATGTCTTTTTTAATCCTCCCCATTCCAGTAGGATTTAGGACACTATTCATTCTATTTGGAGGCTTAAAGTCAACCCACTCTTTCAAACTCAAGAAAAAAATGATTGAAACTGAGCTCACTTACGGAGAGCACCAGATCACGCTTGCGCCTGGAGTTTTTCTGCCCAGTCCCACGGATCCTGCATGGGGAGCTGATAAATCCCATAGAACGGCTCAATTCCCCAGTGCTGCCCGGGCCCGACTCTTCCAGGGCGTTGTCCAGTGCTGCTGAACCAAGCATGTCCTCGGGACGGGTTCCTGGGAGCTTGGCTCCATTTTCTGCTCCTGTCTCTGAGGATGCCCTCTGGATAGCCAGCTGTGTGGCTGGTGAAAGCTGTTTGGCGTAAGCAGGGACCAACACTCGTTGTATTGCACCCTCAGAGGCTACATAATCGTCCGCCATCTAAGAACAAGAAGAACAGTCTATTAACAGCCAGGCAGAGGGGGACCTGCTTAACCACCATTCTCGGCCAAGAGTAGTGCACAAAGTAGAGGGGGAGGCCAGGTCAGCCATCTGTCATGTCGACGGCTTATTTCCCTGGAGTCTATGAGAACACCAGGCAAGTCGGCAAATCATTCCTTTCCTCGTGTTGGGTGTTTTGCCTGCATGTATGTCTGTGCACCACATATATCCAGTGCCTGTGGAGGCCAGAAGAGGGTGTTGGAGTCCTGGAACTGGAGTTACAGACGGCTGTGAATCACCATGTGGGTGCTAAGGACTTGAACCTGGGTCCTCTGGAAGGGCAGCCAGTGCTCTTGGCTCCTGAATCATTTCTCCAGCCCTGGGCTGATTGTTCTCATGTGAACAGGACCTGTACTGTTGGGTTGTTATCACAAAACAGCTTCCGTGAACGAGGCATGCTTTGACCTTCTCTGTGAACAGTTACTTATGGCATATTCTTGAGTATAAGAAATGTATCTTGGGGGGCTGGAGAGATGGCTCAGCGGTTAAGAGCATTGTCTGCTCTTCCAAAGGTTCTGAGTTCAATTCCCAGCAACCACATGGTGGCTCACAACCATCTGTAATGAGATCTGGCGCCCTCTTCTGGACTGCAGACATACACACAGACAGAATATTGTATACATAATAAATAAATATTTAAAAAAAAAAAGAAATGTATCTTGGGGGCAATGGTGGCGCATGCCTTTACCTTAATCCCAGCACTCAGGCTGCAGAGGCAGGTGGATCTCTGAGTAGTACAGGGCCAGTCTGGGCTACAGAGCAGTTCCAGAAGAGCCAGGGCTATCCAGAGAAACCCTGTCTCAGAAAACAAAACAAACAACAAAAGAAATTTATCTAGCTAAGCGCTCTGTCTGAAAGTACGGGGAGTGAGGACAGGAACAAGAAAACTGAACAGTAACTACAATAAAAAGGGGAAATGAGAGAAAAGATGAGAGCAAAGCAGGGAACCCCAAAGTGAAGAACCCCTAGAGGGGATGTCACACACACAACAGACACCCCCCCACCCACCCTCTAGCTCCACGGAGGGGCTGGTCTGGACCAGGCCACACCCCACAGTCTCAGCCTTAACATCCTGCTGAAGCCTGTGCAGTGAAGGACACACAGGGCAAGGAAAAGGAGGGCAGGAGCAGGCGGGGAGAAGGAGAGGACCGGGGATTTTTGCAGCCAAGAAAACAAAACAGTGAGAGTGGGGGAACCACACACGTACAGAAAGACGCGGAGGAGGCAGCTGAGATTTACAGACCCGTGAGCTGCTCTCCCGACTGTGAAATCTAAAAGCTAATTCCATCCCGTCAGCTTGGAAGCCTTCCCTGCCTGAAAGCATCCCCAGCGCAGAGCACTGCCTGGCCCGGGTGTCCTCCCGTTTCCTGTCTCGGGCCCAGGCCAGGCAGGAGAGTGAGGAACAGAGACCATGACTACAAAGCAAAGCCTTTAGAAGAGCGACAGCCAGTTGCTATGATAGGCTAGTCTAGGAGAGAGGTCTGGATGCTCGTTCCTCAGAGTCAGCAGATGGGCTGGGACTTCCCACCCTCTCGTTCACCCTGTGTGTTTGGATCTTTTGTTACCGTGTTGGGGCCAAAAGGGAAGAGAGAGGGCAGACAGGGAGTAGGGAAAGCTGAAGACTCCCCTCTGGCTGTTGACTGTAATGCATCTGTAATTCCCTGTTCTGTGATCTCTGCCATCCTTCGGTCTCCTCCTCTTCCCTGAGTGTCTTTCTGCAGCTCTTCTATGTAGTCAGGCTTTCCTTCAGATGCCCCCTGAGCACTGAGAAACTGAAACAGTGCTGTGTATTTCTTTTTTCTGCCCAGAATATGCTTGATTTCCATCCTCCTCTACTCTCTGCTCCTTCTTCTTCTTCTTCTTCTTCTTCTTCTTCTTATTATTATTATTATTATTATTATTATTATTTATTTTTTTTTTTTTGAGACAAGGTTTCTCTGTAGCTTTGAAGTCTGTCCTGAAACTAGCTCTTGTAGACCAAGCTGGCCTCGAACTCATAAAGATCCACCTGCCTCTGCCTCCCGAGTGCTGGGATTAAAGGCATGTGCCACCACCACCTGGCTGCCCCAACCTTCTTAAAAGACATGTTTTTACTATTTTTAATTATGTGTATGTGTGCATGTCTGTGTGTGGATATGAACATGTATGCGCAGGTCTCAGGAGGCCAGAGGCATCGGATCCCCTTGGAGCTGGCTCTTATGAGCCACCTGACAAGGAAGCTGGGAACTGAACTCAGGTCCTTTGGAAAAGCAGTACGCATTCTTAACCACTGAGCCGTCACTCCAGACTCCCCTCAGCTAATCTTTATTTTGTTTTATTTTTCTTTTGGGGGGGGGGGGGAACAGTATCTCCACATAGGCAGGCCTGGAACTCACTATGGCCCAGGCTGGCCACAGACTCTTGATGACCCTCCTGTCACTGCCACACCCCACCTCTATGTTCCTAAGGGTCCTCTGTTCCTAGTCTTCTGTTTTTGTTTGTTTGTTTGTTTTTTGAGACAGGGTCCTATGGTCCTGGTTGACCTGGAACTCACCATGTACATCTTGATGGTCTTCAGTTCACAGAAATTCATCTGCCTCTACCTCCTGGATGCTGGTATTAAAAGCAAGCGATTAAGCCGGTGGTTGGAGGTGGCGCACACCTTTGATCCCAGCACTTAGGAGGCAGAGGCAGGTGGATATCTGAGTTTGAGGCCAGTCTGGTCTACAGAGCTAGGACAGCCAGGAGTACACAGAGAAACTCTGTCTTAAAAAATAAAAACAACAAACAAACAAAAAAGTAAGGGATTAGAGGGGGCTAGAGAGATGGCTCAGTGGTTATGACCTGGGTTTGCTCTCAACACCCACACTGAGGGGCTGGTTAACTTTCTATGACTCTTAACTCCAGGAGATCTGCCGCCCTCTCCTGGCCTCCCCCTCGCCTGCAGTCACGTCCACACTGCCCCCATACATGTGTAATTAAAAATTAAAAAACTAAATCTTGAAAAGCAATTAAAGGTGTGTGCCACCACCCCAGTATTCTGCCTACCTTTCGCTCTATCTTCCCCCAGATAAAACTCTCTTGGAAGCAGGCACGCTGGCTTCCACCCGTCATGCCAGCACTTGGGAGGCTGAGGTGGAAGAACTGTTCCAAATCTGAGAACAGCTTGGGCTAGAGAGTGAGATCCTGTTGGTCACTGTCAGCAGCAGCAGCAGCAGTATCAAATAAACAGTACCTCCTCTTCCCACATAGATCAACCTTTCTTTTTTCTATTTTTATTTTACTCTACTAGCTGGGCGATGGTGGCGCACGCCTTTAATCCCAGCACTCGGGAGGCAGAGGCAGGCGGATCTCTGTGAGTTCGAGACCAGCCTGGTCTACAGAGCTAGTGCCAGGACAGGCTCCAAAGCCACAGAGAAACCCTGTCTCAAAAAACCAAAAAAAAAAAAATTTTACTTTACTTTTATTTTATTTATTTTGTTTTTCAAGACAGGATTTTCCGGGGGCTGGAGAGATGGCTCAGCGGTTAAGAGCATTGCCTGCTCTTCCAAAGGTCCTGAGTTCAATTCCCAGCAACCACATGGTGGCTCACAACCATCTGTAATGAGGTCTGGTGCCCTCTTCTGGCCTTCAGGCATACACACAGAAAGAATATTGTATACATAATACACAAACAAACAAATAAATAAATAAATAAATAAATAAATAAATAAGACAGGATTTTCCTGGCTGTCCTGGGACTCGCATTGTAGACCAGGGTGGCCTACAACTCACAAAGATCCACCTGCCTATGCCTCCAGAGTGCTGGGATTAAAGGTGTGCGCCACCACTGCTAGGCTTAGATCTACCTTTCTTTTATGCTCCTTCCTTACTTTTTTCTCCTTCTCCTTCTTCAAACCCAACAGTTCCACTTCTTCCCTGTACCTGCCTTTAGTATCCTTATTCCCCCACCCCTACCCCGCGGCAGGCGCTCTACCCTTGCCCCTCTTCCTCTCCACACTTCATCTCTGCTCTGAAGCCCTTCTTGGCAAAATGAAGGCCGTGATAAAATATGAATGAGCCGTCTGTGCATGGCAGGCATTCTCGCCAGGAAAGGCGGAGCTGGTGGAGCAGCCGAGACTGCTGTGGAAAAGATGTCGTGTTGGAGCTCTTGAAAAGGTGGGAAGCACCACGTCACTTCCTGCACCAAAAAAAAAAAAAAAAAAAAAAAAAAAAGGC